TCATATGGCTGCTTACGGAACACGGTTTGGCAAGCTTGGGGTTTTATGAAGGAATTTTGATTGGGTGCGTTTGAGGTGGTGGTCAATTTCACCAACCCATAATGCTGTGCCATACTGTCAGTGTTGGGATGCGTCCAAGGAAATGGGGCCAATTGGCAGGCCCCCAGCTGGCTCCAGCCCACTGGCTGGTAGCCAGGCAATCTCCCGTCCTTGTTTTTTTTTTTAAAAAATCATATTTATTGAAGTTTCCAAAATATAAAAAGAAAAAAGACATAAAAAAGAAAAAAAGAATATTTAAAACCTTATTTTCATTAACATCTTTCCAGGACTTCCCCACCCCTCCCCCCATTGTATTCCATTTCCATTAGATTAATTCCACAAGTTTTTTCCCCAAATTTAGAGCTTATATTTAACCCAATATTCAATTTAATTCGTCTTATATAATCCCTTTCCCTTAAAGATACCTTCTTTCAGCATTTAATTTTTTTTCTCCCTAAGGACGACCCCAATTCCCTTCCACGAATTTCCCTTATTAATGCACATAAAAATTAAAAAAAGTAAAAAAAAAGATTCAAAATATAATTTTACACCCTTTGGATTCCAAATCTCCCTCCCCCCTTTCCCGGTGTCGATCCCCACTATCCATCAGTCTAACTTCTATCAGCCTGGAGACCTCACGTCCATGTCCGAATCTCTCTCAACTCCCCTTTGCCGATTTTCTTGATAGTCTTTAACTTCAAACACCCAATCTTAAAAAAAGTTCTATCTCAAGAAAGTCCATTTTTCTTCCATCCAGACCTCTATATTTAAAAGTAGAACTCAAATTCTGTTTCTTAATCCTTTTAAGTCTGAATGTCCCAAATGTTCTAACTTCCAGCTTAGTCCAATTCTTGTTTTCTTTTATGTCCTCCCTAGCAGGCTTTTGGAATTCCTTGATCTTTTGCAATAATATGGCTCCTCCTTCATTCTCTTCCAAATCATCATGGATTCCTTGTTTCTTTCCTCAAATTTCTTTTCCTGTTGCGCTGCAAAACCATACTAATTCAAAAACTTCTGGTTCCTCTACAGAGGTATTATTTGTTCAGGAACAAAAACTTACGTCAAGTCCCTTCCGTTCTTCAATAGATAAATCTATTGTCTCCTTTAGTGTAGAAACCTCTGTAGATAAAATAATGTTTCGTTTTTGCTGCTTTCCCAGGAGATAAAATAGTCCAGTCCCATTCCATGAGTATTTTTCCACTTACAGTCATTCTTGTAATGTCCAAAAGCCCTCTAGGGGGAAAATGGTAACTTAGTTTCCTTTCAAATCAAACCCAAAAGTCAAGCTAACTTGTATTCCTTACTTTCAGCAATTTTATATCCAAATTGTAACAAATCTAACCAGCAAAGTCCTCGTAACAAAGTTCTCTTTTTGTTCTCCAACTTTGACAGCTACTTTGACAGCTGTCAAAATCTATATCTCTTCACCAGGCTCTCACGGATCTCTCCCGGTTCCCGGGGGGGTTGCATTTTAGCTCATCCACTCTTCTCCTCCAGCACAGTTACTTGTAATTTCCCATCGTGAAATTAATAGCTTTTATCAATAATAAAGAGCAAGCTCTTCTCTCGACCTTAGTTGTCAAATCCTTGCATTAAATTGTCTACAATAGGGGCGAGACGGACTTCCTTTTTGCCCCTCCCCCGCTCATACCGAATTCCAAAAAAAACCTTTTCCCTTTTAGGTCCGATTTCCAGATTACTCACGGGTTGTTATTTTGAGTCCAAATTTTCAATAGAAGAAGTCAGCGCTTTCCGTCGAATGGCATGTGGCTTCGCTCGGCAGGGGAAGCGGAAGACTCATAGCACCACGCCACCTCCCATCGGGGTGGCACAAACGGTGTCCGCCGAGTCACCAAGTCCATGGGCATCCGCGCCCATGGTTTCTGAGGGTCCCCGCGTCGCCGGTGCGGCGGGACCCAACCCCTGCCGAGCAGACTCCCTCCGGAACTCAGAGGGAGTCCGCCATTCGGCGCTGGCGCCAACCCGGAAGTTTGCAATCTCCTGTCCTTGGATCAGCATGTAACTGCAACTTTAGCATCAGAAAGCTTCAGAAGCTGAGCAAGCAATCCAGCAGATAATAAAACTCTTCACAACAGAAGGGCATATAGAGGCTTTGTAAAGCGTATTTACACGCATTTTATTCAGCAGCAGGACAAAGGGAAAAACATGTCTTCTCCCCGTCGTGTCCAAGCAAACAGCGTAAGCAGTAGCTATACACAAACGGAAGTTCCCAGCAAGTTGTGCCTGAATGTAAACAGGCATGTGACACACAGCAGCCTGTTCCTCTTAAGGTGGAACAGAATATCTTAACAGTCAGGTCCCCAGCTTTCTAACACAGTGAGCGTAGTTAATTAAAAAGGATTTTTTATTTTCAACACAGCCGCCGCTATCATGAATTATGACGACCCTTCTAAGGGTCCCTTCCGCTTTCTAAAACAGAAAGTGAATTACAAAGCTGGCATTCTGCTTCCTGTCTAGCAAGCCCCCCATATGCAGGTTCCGGGGAGAGATTGGATCAGCTGCAACCTCTTCCGAGCCACTCTGTAGCTCTGTTCCTGCCTGATGAACTGCTTCCTTCTCTCTTGGTGGTATTTTGTAGTTCTCTAGAGTGTTGGCAGGGCTCCAGCTCACCCTCTTGTCATGCTTTTTATCAGCTGGCATTCCTAAGGGTGGGGGAATTGGCACTCGGCGATGCTCCTCTTGTCTGGCAGTTAATCCCCTCTGTATTCCTGGCTACCTACTTTGCTGGGAGCTGGCTGGGCTGGCTCATTCATGACACGATACAGTAATTTTGGATTTACTTTGCATCTAAAATCTTTTGCGTAGCAAGAATATATTGGTTCTTTATTGAAGGAGCAGTAGTTGATAGCCAAGCACTGGTACCTGCCACACTTGATGCAAACTTGCCAGGAGGCAAGTATTGAAAGCGAATGCCTAGGTATTGAGAAAACTCGGTCTACCAGAATCCTTGGCCTTCGGTAGCTAAGCAACTACTCACCCACACAAGAGAACTTGGCTTCCCAAGCTCTCTTGCACCCGAAAAGAGCCGCGGCAAAACACAAATCCAGGAACGGCAGCCGAGACCCCCACGCTTGCGCCTCGCTGCCCACTTGTTGAAGGAGGAAGCAGTGCATGGCTGTGGTGGCCTGGGAATCTGATTCAGAGACTAAACCGGAGGAATCCCAGCCTGCACAGGAGTCCCCGCCTCCAGGACCGGCTGAGCCAGGGCAGGGCCTTGATTCTGAAGGGCCTGCACCTGTGCTGGATCCTCAGGAGCAGACACCAGATGAATCCACTCTGGCTCCGGAGGTGATTGAGGACCCGTTGCCTGCAGGTGCTCCTCTCCCAGCTCTGTCAGGAGAAGGTGAGGCTGCCTCTGGGTCCAGTAACCCTCCAGCCTCTCCTGAGCTGCAAGAGGCTCAGGGCAGAGAGGCGGAGGGAACTAGGTTCTCTCAGGAGGAGTGCTCGCCTTAAGGCCAGGAGAGGCGGGTCACCTGTGGACCGGGGCCACCCTATGCCTCGGGGCAGATAAAAGCCAGTCAGCCCAGTCCCAGGTTGCGGGAGCAACGACATTGGAAACCTGTTTCTTCCAGCACCCATGCAGTTTTTCCGGAGTTCCCGAACACGCCCGGCTTCTTGCTTTGGACCCCGCTTCGCCCTTGGAGGACAGTCGCCAGACCCTTGGCCCAGGACCAGAGGCAAGGGGCAGGATCCGAGGGAAGCCTACCTGCTCCGTCGGCTCTGCCGCCTGGCACAGCCTATTGTTGGGATCTCTGCTCGGCCAAGCTGATAAAGCTCATCTTCCTCGGGCCAAGTCCTTCGGAATCGCCTCCGACGAATAATTAACGACCTGAGCCTTTGATGAGGCCTCAGGCACATTCCCCCATTCAGCAGAGAATCCAGCACAGGGAAGCGATGAGATTTATGGCTGCATCGCTATGCTTTATTTCTTCCTATGCAGACAGCAAAGAAATATACAGCCTCTCTCTATGAAAGCAGAGAGCAACTGAAACAAAGGAAACAGGAAACCAGTACATCACATCCATCTCCCATCTCCCGTGAGACTTCCAACAGTATGGAATCCCAGGAATGTAAACAGAGTCCTTGTAACTCTTAAGCAGCTGCACAGTGGCAAAGCAGAAACTTCTATGTCCCCAGCCTGCATTCCCATTGGCCAAAGCCAGGTGCAGGCTAGGATCCAGTTCCTGATGGCTGCAGGGGGGAGTGTAGGAAAGGTTATGCCAAGGGCAATAGGAGACAGGTAGACTACACGTTCTCCCCATTTCTCCTCGTTTACTTTGTGTTCCTCGGCACTCTTTTATACCTGGGGATCTTGGATTCTGTTGGGCAGTGTGGGAGAGTCTCTGGCGAGTTCTCAGTCCATTTCCCCCAGAGGTGCGTCCATAACTCAGTGACCCTTTCCTGAAGGTTCTGAATATATGAACCAGAACCCCTTCCCTCCCTGACTCTGAGCGAATCTGGATATTATTGCGAGTGCTGGGATCATTCCCCTCAAACTCCCACCCCTTACTGTCTGGACAGTTTCTACAAATCCGCGCCTTACCTATGAGATACATAAGTGATCATCTTCTGATGGGTGGCTTTTTTGTGACATTTGCAATGAAAACCCTTAACGGGTTTCAGGGACTGCCCCTAAGATGTGTTGTTATGTCTGCTTGGACTTCTGCCTCAGCTAGCAAAATACCACTAAATGAAATAAATAATAATAATAATAATAAATTTTTATTTATATCCCGCCCTCCCCAGCCGAAGCCGGGCTCAGAGCTGCTAACAACAGTAAAATGATAACGTTTCTAAAATCATTTCATTATAAAATCAGTTCAAATCAGATTAATACCGTGAAAATCCCTGAAACGAGAAGTAATCGACTAGAAATATTACCTTGTGGAAATAAACTAAATAATAAAAATCAAAAAGCTTAAGGAAAAAATCAGAAAAAAACTGAAATAGAACAAAGCCTTAACGGGATGCCGGCTGCAAACCTCGTTTCACTGAACTATTCAGTTTCCTCAGAAGGAAATAGGAAAATCATAAACGTCAAATGACCAAAATTTAAAAAAAGGGTAGAACCCCCAAAATTCTGACATATTATAATCCTAAAATGTGTTGTTATTTCTGCTCGAATTTCTGCCTCAGCCAGCAAAATACCACTAGGCATTATTACTGGCCAGTTACAAATAACATACTTGCGGACTGACCAGAGACCTCATGTTAGAAGCAGCTTCTTTAGATTTTGACCTAGCCGCCCATGAGATTCGCAGCACCATTATTAGCTGCAAAGTCCTCAGTCCAGCGTTGAGGTGTGGATCCAACTGCCTCTGGACCAGCAGGTGTCAAGAGCTCCTAGTGCTTCCGACTGCTGAAGGCAATTTACACATAGAAAGTTTCGTTTTCAATAAAAATGGCTATATCAGATGCTAGCTGTACTAAGCATACATTCATTGAAATAAACTGAGAGTACAAACTTGGGTTCATGAATTTCAGTGGGTCTACTCTGAGTAGAACTTCATTGGATGCAGAACAAAGCAAGCAGCGTGTAAGGACCAAATGGCAAATTTTAAAAAAATAATATACCTTGATTCATTTCCACATTTTTGCAACGACTGCATGGAAAAAGTTTGGTAACAGTAACTTGCATGTATATTGTCATTGATTTTGTTATTCCAGGGCATCAAGAACATTCATTTCTCCATCAGTTTACGAGGTTGATTAGTTTGCATTCCCTTATAATAGTTTTAACCAGATACCAAATCTTTTTTAAAAAAACACATATACAAGGGGATGGAGAATTGGACAATCAATGGCTACTAGCCATGGTTAGTGGCATTAATGTTTCTGAATTCCATTGCTAGGAATCGCAAGTGGGGAGAGTGCTGTTGCATTCTCAGGTCCTGTTGAACCAAGAATAACAGCTAAATGGGAGAAGCATCAGGAATACATTCATTGACCACTTTCAACGTGGATTACAGTTCTATAGCAGGGGGCTTATATTGGTTGATGGTTTGCAAGTATATTCTATTCAGCACAATTTCAATCTGTTAGTTTCCCTTCCTTAGGAAGATTCATACTTCTTCATCGGATCCTCTGTCCACGGGGGAAAGGATCTGGCCAGCTCCTGAGTGAGGTTCTCCTCAATTGGCCACCCCCAAGCTTTAAAGAAAGGACCCAGATTTTTGCTCACTTCTTGAGAGAAATGGCGGGTCCAGAGGTTCATCTTGGCGCTGTTGTCAGTTGGGATGTGGGTCATTGCTTGGTATTCTACGAAGATGTGGATGTAGGGCTCCCAGCCAAAGGCCTCCTGCAACTGAAAAATAATAATTATTCAGTCCCTTTCCTAAGGACTTAAAAAAATATATCTCTGTTGCTTATCCTGTCTCTCTGGGTGTCTATGCTACCGAAGCATGTCAGTTTTACACCATTTATGACTTACGTGGCTCTGCCCTCCCGGCCCTTGAGAATTCTGGGAACAAATGAGAGCCGCAACAAAATGTTGCAGTATGAAGTGCTGCTCTTCAGGATTCCGGTTACTTCACTGCACAGCATTCCCCTTTGTCCTCCCATGATCCTCCACTCCCCACCGCTGACCATGCTTGGGTCTTCCTCGGGCTGGTTTTAGAATAGGCCTCACAGAAATATTTCTGCAGCCCTTAGAATTTCCCCAGTCCTGCCATTTTCTTCGTTCCCCATATATAAAGTCATTCCAGTAACAGAAGCAACGCTCTCACAAAACTACAGTTCCCAGAAGTCCCTGAGAACAAGGAACATTCTGCATGCCTACTTGGTCCTAAGTCCTGTCATGTTCAATAAGACATTCTTCCTTCCTAGGAATTAAGCTGCAGCTTAATTCTGACTTAAAGTTTAACAGTTCAGACTTTCTTTTGGCAGTTGGATAGCCAGGTCACACCCAAGAGGTGTTTGACGTTCCATTTTTCTAAAGCACAGGCTTTTATAAATGAAAGGGATATTTGTTAAGCAGTTTGTGGTAAGTTGGAGGTGGAAAGGAGGATATGCATTGGAAAGTGGGGGGACATCAAAACAACCCCTCTGGGCATTGCCAATTGTCTCTGTCTGCTCCTGAACACCACCCTGGGATTTTTAGTCAGAAGTCACAATCACACATTTCAGCGGCAATGGCTGAATCCAAGGTTAGGCCTACAGAAGTTCAACAGATAGGACTAAAGGTCAATTGATTTCAATGACTCGACCCTGAATATTGCAGAGTTGAGATACAACCCCGAGTCCTGAAGGAATGAAAGACCTGAACAATTTATTCTACCTGGCTTGCAGCAATAGGGGGAGTGGGAGTGGTTTCTGCCACTGGCCAGTTAAGGCATCACTGATCTAAATGGTCCAGTGGTCCAACTTCTGCTCCACTGTGGAAGATATGGCGGTGAACTCCGTGTCGTCTGCTTAAGAGAGGACACGGTTTAGGCAAATAGAGCTTGAGGGTGGCTGCCAGGGCTCGGCGCACCCCTGAAAACCCCCCCACGGAAGAGTGGGCACCCCAGGGTTCCAGCAAAAGTGAGGAAAACTCGCACCCCAAACCTCTCTGGCTGCCGTTTCGCACACAGGGGAAAGTTGAAGGGGCTTGAGTTCACTCACAGCTCCAACGCACTCTATTGCTGAAGCCGTACTCCATCACAAGAAGCAGCGGAGCTTCCAATTAGAGGTAAAAGCCTGTATAAAGTTGTTAAAGAAATTAGCCTTAAATTAATTGATTTGGCGAAACGGAAGCCAAACAGGAAGTCAGCTTCCAATTTCTGCGGACAGGCTCTGCAAGGGACGTTTTTATGAATGGTAGAAAGAGAATTGGCTCCAGCCATGGAGATTTAGTAACAAAGAGACTCTTGACTTTGGGAATGGTTTCCGTTAGAAACAATTGCGTCAAGCTGTCCTTTGGGATAAAAAGAAGATAGAAGATGACAGCTGGAGAGAATTTGACAGTCTGATTATCCTGGCAGTGTATAAAGCAAGAAGAGGGAATTTTTAATGGTCCAGTGGTCTGACTCTATAGAGCAGCTTCTTTATGTACCTGCAAGTAAGGTTCTAGTGCAGTCCACACCGTGAAGTCCTTCAGCTGAGCTCCGCCTTGAATATAGTCCTTCACCCTCCTCTTTCTGCTGTCTGGTTTAAGCTCTGGATGGGCTCTTTCTCTGGGGATGTTCAGCACAGTTTCATTGACGTAAACAGACCAGAGGTTGCAGGTGGCTTCCGTGGTATGTGGGGGGAATTCCCACCCACCCTTCTGCTGATTGTGACCCAGCTCATGGATCGGGCCCCAAGTGCCTTTGGTGTACATGCGCTGTACATCCGTGATCTCCTCTGACGCCGCCACGTTAGCCATGATCGGATAGCCAGAGTGCATCCAACCTGGCGAGAGAGTTGGGACAAGGAGGACTTGTAAGACAGACGCATGTTTCTCCATGAAAGCGGAATAAATCATTTGCAGATAAATCACTTGCATCTTTCCCCTCAGCTTTAAAACAAATATGGTACTGTGGTTTGCGTACGTATTGTACTGTGTGGTTATTTCTCCCTAAAAAAATATTTTTATTGGAATTTTAACATACAGAATATCTGATTTCCATGGGGGTTGCTTTCTGTGTCTGGGTTTAAAATTGCTGAAGTAAATGATTCACAGTGATTTATGGGGCCACCTAGAATTTTGCTGGCCAAAAATCGAAAATTACAAGAAGTACCAACAGTGGAGGAATGGCAGATGAAGATGATGGACTTTTTGGAGCTAGCCGAACTGATTGGAAGAGTCCGCGACCAGAAGGAGGAGGAGTATCAAGAGGAATGGAAGAAATTTAAGGATTATTTAATTAAATATGTTAAGATAACTTAAATAGAAATACTTGTAACAGATTGGCGGCCTAGGATTTAAATATGTGATGTTGTAGAATACTATGGATAAAAGTCAAAATGAAAAGAAAGATGTTAATTGGCCAAGTAAATTTTATGTGAAAATAGTTTTGGAAAACTGCTACTATTAATTCATATGGAAACTCAGCCAGGGGGATTCGAGGAAGTCACCCAACAATGATAACAAAAATGGAATTATTACAGTTAGGATAAATGTTTGTTTTTTTATGTTTTCTTTTTATGTTTGTTGAAATTTTGTTATAAATTTGGAAAACCTAATAAAAAAAATTTGAAAAAAAGAAAACAACGTATAATAAAATTTAAACTATCCTTAGTTTGAAAATAACTTGAGTTGCGGCAATATCCACGTTTTTCCGTAGGCAATGCCTATGTGATTCCAAGATGCTGAGCCTAAAAATGGGACCTGCTAGCAGATCTTGCTCTGCACTAAAAATATATGGGTAAATTATTATTTTATTGTTGATTTCAAACATACAAATAAATGCATAGTTTACAAATACTTCCATTGGTAACCTCTGTAAAAGGCAGATAATATCAAATATTTGAAACCATACATCTCAACCTATGTGAAAAGAAAAAGAAGGAAAAAAGAAAGAAAATACAATACAAAAACAAATACTTCAATATATTGTGTTAGATACTGTTCAACACGATTCATTCGTATAGTAGCATTCCTTTGATGTGGTACTTTTCCATATGGATTGAATCTCCTTACATATTTTAGTTATAGACTTCCATCTACCTTTTTGCCAGTGTTTGTAAAACAAAACAAAAAAAAAGTTCTGACCTCCCTTTGTCGCCTCAGCCTGGTCCTCAGACCCTTGTCGGCATAAAAGAGTCCACAAGAATAGTATCCTTGCAGAGTACTTTCTGATTTTATTCTTAAGTCTTTCTGCAAAAGCGACTGACAAACTGTACACACCAACACTACCAGCTTTCACTAACCAACCAACCTAACACCAAATTAACATTTCTCACTCTATATATACTCATGCTGACCCAGCTTTTTTAAGCATTAAAGAAACAGCGGCCATTTTAGCCTTGACACTTTTGGGGCTCAGAATTCTATTTCTGAGCCTTTTTAGGGGTCTGCGTTGCCTCCACTCCCTTTCTGCTCTTTTCAATGAATGAGACACCCTGACCAGCAAGCAGGGCATACTCTCGACCTGAACACAGTTGCGGTTGATCCTATTTGTTGATCCTCAGTGGTTTTAACAAATAATCCCATGAAATGTTATCAAAAGCCTTTTCGGCATCCGCTAACAACATTGCTATTCTTTTGTTTGATTTCATCTCCAAATATTCTAGTAAATATTTACTGTTCTTGTGTTGTTATATACTTGTTTTCCTGGCAGGAATCCCGCCTGGTTGTCATTAATTATTATATTCAGTATTTTTTAAAGTCTATTTGTTAATATTCCTGTAAAAATTTTGTAATCTGAATAATGAAATTGGTCTATAGTTTTTGGTATTTGTCAGATCTGCTCTCTGTTTTGGTATTAAAGTTATTAAGGATTCTTTCCTTGATTCCGGAGTTTTTCCATTCTCTAGTATATTATTCATAATCATTTTAAGGATTGGAAGTATAACCACTTCTAATATTTTATAATACCTAATTGAAATTCCACCTGAACCCGGTGTTTTTCCTACTTTCATTCTTTTTAATTACTTGTACTGTTTCATCTGTTTCAATGTTTGAATTTAAAAAGTTGTGCCGGGTGGGAGTTAGTGGATGCAATGGAAGCTGAGAAGTAAGACTTCTTAGCAGCTTTCACTGCCATCTCATAGGCTTTTATAAGCGTCCTATAGGATGTTTTTGAGGTTCCGTCGCAAGCATGCCACCATACTCTAGCTGTCTGAGGTCCCGTTTCATTTTCCGGAGCTCCTCGGTAAACCAAGAGGCCCAGTTTTGGCAGAGACTCAGAGGGCGCCTGGATGCAATCTCATTGATGGCCAAGAGCCAGTTATTCCAGCCCTTAACAAGCTTATCTAATGAACCACCAGGGGATCAGGTGTCCTGCAAGGCCTGATGGAATCCATCAGGATCCATTAGCCTTCATGGGCAAGCCCAAATAGGCTCACCACCCAAGCCGAGGGGGGGTCAGTCTTGGCTTTCAGAGCATGGTGATCAGACCATGGCACCTCCACAGGGGGTGGGGACATGATCACATCTATACCTGCACTGAAGATCAAATCCAGTTTGTGGCCTGCTTGATGTATGGGGCCAGAAACAAATTGGGAGAGCCCTAGCGTCTCCATGGAAGACACCAGGTCCAGAGCCTGTGAGGAGGGGGTGGCATCTGCATGGACGTTGAATTTCCCCAAAACTAATAGGTTAGGAAACTCCAAGCCCCAGCCTGCCACCACTTCCACAAGGCCTGACAGGGTGGCTGCTGGTGGGTTAGGTGGTCGCCTCGGTGCCTCACACTAGGCCAACACATTCAGTGCCATAGATGGATGGCACTGGCAGAGCCCTGAAAGGGCAATCCTCCCAGATTAACAACACCCCTCCCCCCCAGCCCACAGTCCGCGGTTGGTGAAGGATAGAGAAACCCAGGGGTGCCATCTCACACAAGGCGACTGTTTCGCCTTTGTGCACCCAGGTCTCCACACAAGCCAGATCAACCCTCTAGGAGGCAAAGAAGTCTCTCAGGGTGGCGGTTTTATTGCCTATAGACCTGGCATTGCATTACACCAGTGATGGAGGTAGGTAATCCTGCTCACCCTACCTTCATCCCTCGGGATGGGGCGCAGCTTGGAAGGGGTTTGAGCATATCCGTATCTCAAAACCCTTTGCTTATAATATCTGCCCCCACCACCATACCTCCCTCACCCCTCAACTGTGGTGATCCCAAGCCCCATGCTGGCCTCCCTTGGTAGCATTGGTTACCAAGAAGGAAGGCAAGGCCCTTCAGGCCCTCAGCGGCAGGTGAGTCCATCTAACCAGCTTTTCACCAACCACACATTTCAATGGTTCTTTGTGGAAGCCATGATGGTTTAAACCAATACAAGCTTACAGCTCAGATGCATCTCTGAGGATATTTTTATAGATCCCGGTGGCTGCTTATTTAAAGATGGGAGGATTGTGCAAAATGGATTTGAGACTATACTGTTTTCACCCACCTGTATATGAACAAGTTGGTACTTACCAACAGATATTTGGATATCTTCCACTATCCTTTCTGGTCTGGGGAAAAGGGGAGGGATGGCTGCTAACTTGGCCACTGCTCTCATCATCTGGGCCCAGGTGTTCAGTAGGACCCCTGGATTGTCCATTCCACGCACGTCCTCTGAGGCCACTGTCAAGATGATGTTCTCCGTTTCTAACTCAGCCCAGGGAGCAGGGTAGTGGCGGATAGTGTCCTTCCAGGCGGATAGGCTGGTTTCACCTAAATGCATTTTATATTTTGTTGCAAAAAGAAGTAATAACAATTAACTGCATATTCTAGTGTGGAGAAAGGGGAAAAAGAAAAAAGGAATGGATGGGTTTTGGTCAGTGTATTCCCCTCAATAAGAGCTCCCTCTTGACGATACTGTTGTGAGGAGCCTCAGGTTCTGATGATACCTCCAGAGAAAGGGCAGATGGGTTCAGGAAGGTTTGCCCTTGCTCTGAGTGGGCTTTATTTTTCATTATGTAGTTGGGTGTGATGTGGCATAATCTAGAAAATGCCTGAACCTCCAAAGATGGTTCCAGATTTACAGAAGCCATCCTGGTTTCTGATTTGGTCACAGAAGGCCCTCCTTTTCTGGAAAGGTAAAGGGACCTCTGACCATTAGGTCCAGTCGTGACCGACTCTGGGGTTGCGGCGCTCATCTCGCTTTATTGACCGAGGGAGCCGGCATACAGCTTCCGGGTCATGTGGCCAGCATGACTAAGCCGCTTCTGGCGAACCAGAGCAGCGCACGGAAACGCTGTTTACCTTCCCGCCGGAGCGGTACCTATTTATCTACTTGCACTTTGACGTGCTTTCGAACTGCTAGGTTGGCAGGAGCAGGGACTGAGCAACGGGAGCTCACCCCGTCGCGGGGATTCGAACCGCCGACCTTCTGATCTGCGAGTCCTAGGCTCTGTGGTTTAACCCACAGTACCACCCGCATCCCCCTCCTTTTCGTTAGGACATCCCTATTTTCATCAGAGAAATGTTGGAAGCAAGTCAAGGAGATAAGCAACTATACAACCTTAAGAAGACGTCTGAAGGCAGCCCTGTTTAGCGAGAACATAATGCAGTTGGGTTCCTGCACATCTTAATTCAAACAGATTTCTGATCTCACGAAATACCTCCCCTGCTTCTTTCAAAGGGACCCCTTACCATGCTTGAAATAAGGAGCCAGTGAAGCCCCTTTGACGTTGACTGATATGTTGCCCACGGAAGACTTCTTTGGCAGCACAATGTACAGGAGGCCACCCCACAAGCTGGAGACTTCCATTCTTTCACTCGTAACTTCAAACCGCCTGATCACTACCGGAGGACGCAGCAAGTTCTCAGCATTGCTCAGGTCATCGGAATGGCAGCCAATCTGGACCTGGAGAAAAAGACACTGGGTTCAACCAGGAGGTGGTGCAAAATATTAACCCCAAGGGGCAGTTGATAAGGTCTGCTGTTGTTGAAGGCACCGAATATTTTTGAAGACTCAAGGAAGATTGCCTTTCTTTCCACTCTTTATCTAAGGGACTGCATGATACAATTCGGTTATAATCACACGCGATCTTCACAGCAATCTTGTGAGGTGGGATAAGGGCATAGGTGGCAAAGAAGGTCTTTCTGTGAGTGAGGAAGTGGAGATTGGTTAGTTGGGGGAGGGACTGGCATGCTGGGAATTGCAGGTTGGTGCTCAAAGGTGTAAAAAAACAAAAGGTAAAAGTTGTAGGTCCCACAATAAGTGGCTAATAAAACAATCCCGTCAAAACCCAGTGTACAGTTAAATCAATGAATAAAATACTAATTATATACAGGGTTGTATTCAACTAACTTTTGCTCAGAGTAGTCACATTGAAATTAATGGAGCCTGGTGAGTTGGGAGACAGAGACAACATGTTGGGAGATGGAGCCTGGGGGTCAAAGAAGTAGATAACACCCTTCAGCTGGGGGATGGGGCCTGGTTGTGCTACGCTTGGCTCCCAAAGGTGCATTTTTCTGCACCTGTCCTTGTAAACCACCTCATCCTGTGCTGTATTATTCTTGTAAAATACCAATGTTATAAAGGTTTGTATTCAACGAACTTTTTTTCAGAGTAGCCCCATTGGAAATAATTAACCTCAGTCATGGTCATTGATTTCAGTAGATATACTCTTGAATAGTAAAAGTTAGTGGAATATAACACATCAATCAGAAATACCGGCTAGGGAAGAAGGGATGGGGTCAAGTCTGTCCCCAGGGGAGTGTTTCCAGGCACCTATTCTGATAGGGAAATCTACCGGGAGGGAGAAGGGTTACCAAGAAAACAGCACAAGGGGAAATGATCGGCCACCCCCATTTCCTCCCAGCAGCCTGGTCCCGATCCTTTTGAGAGATTTAAGGAGATGGAGGAGCTAAATTGTTTCAACCCAGTTGTCCCCTCAAAGCTGTAGTCAAAGCCCTGACTGATGTTTAAAAAGCATCACCTGCAGCTGAGCACTGATGGCATTGGGTGGAAAGAGTAAGCTGACGGTCTTTGCCGGAGGAACATAAAGGCCGGTGCTTCTCCAAGCTTCGTCTCCTGCAAGGCCAAAGTAAGACATGGAGGTGAATCATAGGTGGTCAGGGATGATGGGAATTGTAGTCTCAAAACATCTGGAGGGCCAAGGTTGAGGAAGCCTGTTCTATAGAGCCCTCTCACAGTTTGCTTGTGTGTTGTTTTTTTTAAAAAACCCTTTTACTTTATATTTTCATTTATCCAGGTTAAATAATCAGGATTGCTTCTTGAATGAATGCGCTGCATGCACACATTTCAGCCAAATGTGGGCACAAATCCAAGTTTGCCTAATGTGGCTACTTTGTGTCACAGCCAGGAACAGCCAGTGTCAAGAGGCCCCGCCGCACACCTGGCCTCCAAGCAGCAGGTTGGGGCTGTGCGGGCGCCCCAGTGTGGCCAGTCCATTGCTCCTGCTGGTGTCAGAATGGTCTGAAGGCGAGCACTGGGGGATGCATTCTATGGCAGACCAGCTTCTCTCGGATGGAGAGCTGGAGAGTCGCCCCCCCTTGTCCACAGCATGTTCAAAAGCAAAGAGAGATAGAAGCTGAATGACTTAGGAGGAGTTACCCAGTTCTGAGATAATGACGAGAACCAGAAGGAAGGGGGTAGCTAGTTGAGACATCTATTGAGCATGGGGGACCACCCTTCACCACAGACTCGGAGGTCTGAACGTATCAGAGAGCAAAGGAGTCAGAGGTAGGGAGGGATTTCCTGTTGGCGCCCAAAATGCTGTGGGAGTTGGATTAGACCAGCCAACTGATCTCCTTGTGCAGAGCTGTGTGATTGTGCTCACAACGTGATGCTGCAATAAAAGGACTATAAATCTTATCAACTGCTTGTTAATTCTTACATGTGAAGATATGGAAGGGGGGAAGGACTCTGCATGCCTGACAGCTGGTGAGCCCACACAGCCCCAGCCTCTCCCAAGACCTTGTGTGGGATGTGAAACACAAGAGTAGTTAAGTACAACATTCCTAGAGTGAACATGTTTACACATGGGGAGGAATATTTGTCCAGCCAGCAGGTAAACTTCCTGTTTCCTTCTGGGGTGGGACAGACTTCCTCTGCATGTGACTAAAGGTGGGCGTGGCCTCACCTGTGCAGGTAACGACAAAAGCACAGGGCAGGACAGCCATCTCTTGGTTTGACTAAATGCATCGAAGAAGCAACATCTGCTTAGCCAAAGATGCTCTTGGCTTCCCAAGAGAGGACAAAGGGACTGTCTCCTTATGAGGTACAGTGGTACCTCAGGTTAAGTACTTAATTCATTCCGGAGGTCCGTTCTTAACCTGAAACGGTTCTTAACCTGAAGCACCACTTTAGCTAATGGGGCTCTTGCTGCCGCAGCACAATTTCTGTTCTCATCCTGAAGCAAGTTCTTAACCCGAGGTAATATTTCTGGGTTAGCGGAGTCTGAAACCTGAAGCGTATGTAATAAAGTACCACTGTAGTTTCCAGATGTATGTTACTTTTCTAAGCTATGTCTGTCTGCTGGGACCCGATTGTGAACAGAATGTGAGTAAACTCTTTTTATATTCTTATAGAAGACTGTGTTGTGTCTTATCTTTTATAAGGGAATAAGGGGAAAATACCAGGACGGTTATTATAGAGGGTTTAGCGAGCTTGAGCAAACACATCCGCTGTGCGAGTTTAAAAAGGAGAATGTTACTCTGCTAAATTGTGAACTTGTTTACACAAGTTGGAAAGGCTATAATCAGACAATATATCCTCCCTTTCATCCCTGAACATTCCCATACCTTGCCCCCTCTCCCCTCCCACCTGGCCAGTGGAAAAGCTACTGCTGGGAGATGAGGAGGAGCAAGGTCGCCCCCTCTTCACTGGCTGCTCCTGGGAATGGCAGGGCGGGGAGGCCAACGTGTGCAACCCCCTCACTTTAAATGTGCCAGGGGCTCCTATGACACTGCAAAAACTGTTAATAAATGAGAGAGATGCTTTGTACTGCAACTTGGAGCATGACTGGAACTGAGAGAAATGAGTTCTGAGCCAAGTTCACAAAATGACCCATTTTTGGATAAGGAGGCAATCAGACAATCTGAAAGGAACAGATTCACTTGAGGGAGATATACTGTGGAACAAACTGGTTTAAAGTGACAAAATCTCTCACCCTCATTTATTCCATTAATCTGAATGACTTGAGGAGGTGCTGTGGGATAGCTTGGAAGGTTTTGAATTAGATGGGGCACTAGGTCTTGGAAATGTGGTAAATTGTTGTAGAGCAGGAATGCCATTTGAATTAAAATGGCTTCATCCGAGTTGCTTTTAATTGGGTTGCTTGCCCTGGCACCAGAAATCCCGCAGAGAAGTGCTATTTTTCTGGAAGAGGAGGTGCTGGAGCTCAACATGGATGCCTCCATTATTCTCTGAGTTCTGTTGAGTTCCGGCTGAAAAAACTCGAGCTTGATCAGCTGCAGCATATCCTCATGGACCGAGGAGAGAGGTGGAGAGTTGGTAGCTGGGATGCTCAGGAATGTGGCACAGTCTTTCCCTAGCTTCTTGAGCCATGAGGAATATGGAGGCTGCAGAGCTTGCTTGCTCCGAATGTGCTCCTTGAATTGGAAGAGCGCTTCGCGGAAGTGATAGCTCGAAGCAACAGCGCTGGCCTGTCTCACTGGGTAGCTTTCACCAGGTAGGTTGATACACTCCCCGGTGATCCCAATTCCAAATTTCTTCAGTATCTTGTTTCCTGGATATTGTGCGATGGCGCAGGCGGTAGGATTTTGATAAGTCCAGTACCAAGCTTGTCCACCGATGAGGAGACCACCTCCCTCAGAGACGAATTCGTGGATTCTTTCCTTCTCTTTGTCACTGTAGGCGTTGCAGCAGTACACGCTCAAGCCCGGCTTAAGATCGGTTAGCTCACAAGGGATCCCAGCCTGATTTAACATGGAGTAAAGTTCCTTCAATTGGTCTCCGATGCCAACTTTCCCTCCCTTTCCAGCAGTAACCCAGTTGATGGCGTTGAGGAGGAAAGTTTTCATGGATGGTCTGTTGAGCATTCCTTCGTGGGAGAAGACCACAACACGTCCCCTGCCGTAGTAGGCGGCTCCAACAAAGGACTGGAAAGAATCAGTTATGCCCACTGGAAATGCCAGATTCCCGTGGATAAGCAGTTCAGAAGGGATCATGCCCTTAAAACAGAAGGTTGTCACGCCATTCAGAAGAGTCTTTAAGTCACCCTCAATGTCTAATCCATGCCTATTTAAAAAAAGAATAGGTAATCCTTTAAACGAGGTTATAACTTCCTGTGGGATCATCTGAATCATTATTGCCTAACTCGGTCCCTTCCTAATGTTTTGGATTCTATCAAGGCCTCTCAGTTTAGCCAATGATCTTGGGGGTCCCAACACTTGGAGGCTCATTGCATTGAAACCAAAGTCATTGCTTTGGCAATTCCATGTGCGGCTAATAATAATATTTTATTATTCATACCCTGTCCATCTGGCTCAGTTGCCCCAGCCACTCTGGGCGGCTTCCAACACATATAAAAACATAATAAAATATCAAACCTTGATAGCCACAATCTGATTCAATATAAAAAAGTCACTCTAATAGTAAAACAGTAAAATTGAGCATCTGTTCAGTGGGCTTTTGTTTTACTACCCTTCTTGTCTGCTAAGTTTTCTGAAGCTTTTTTTCCTGTAATGATGTAGGGGAACAGTTAGGATCACCCCAAAAACACTAAAACTGTTCGTGAATCCCCCCCCCATGCCTCGCCTCAGGCATTAAAAACTGCATTTCCTCTAAGGCAAAAGCAGCATTAGCTAAGCATATTCCGCTTGCTGTAACTAAAAAAGATTGCAACAAAGGTAGAGAACAGTCCATTGTTTCTCAGGCCTTTCTCAGGCTTTTGGCCTTGCTAAAAAAACCACATTGCAACTTGGCTTTCTGTCTGGGAACTATGCCAAAGCACAAGAATGAAACAACACACTGAAACCCTTTTACCCCCTTTCTGGGAAAAGTCCAAAAATGGTCCCAAGACAGCTTTCTGTTCATGCTCAGAGGAACTCATGGGGCAGGACTCTGGAAGAAGGAAGAGAAAGGGGGAGGGAACTGGAAAGGGGTATATATGCTTGTGCACATGACTGTGAATTCGTGCATGCTTTTTGTGAGTTATCACACTTGCTCCTTCTACCAGTTCATGGATGGTAGAAATAAAAGCTTTTTCTCCGAAACTATTCCTTGAGTGTCTGTTGACTCCCACTTCCCTTTCCCGGGCGCAATATTTTTCCCACCCGAGAGCAAAGCCTCATAAGGCTACAATGAAGCTGGAAATCCTTAGTAAAAAGTTCTCTTTGCTAATGAACTTTTGGCTCTGCCTGATACATTGGAACCAGACGTGCCAGCTCCCAATAGGCTCCTGCAACTCTGCGGTCTAACAGGACAATGGAGCCCCTTGGAATTTATGGCCAAATCGTGACAAATGCAGTGTTAAGATTAAACACTTCATACTAAGTTTAAATGGGACGCGGGTGGCGCTGTGGGTAAAAGCCTCAGCGCCTAGGGCTTGCCGATCGAAAGGTCGGGGGTTCAAATCCCCGCGGCGGGGTGCACTCCCGTTGCTCGGTCCCAGCGCCTGCCAACCTAGCAGTTCGAAAGCACCCCCGGGTGCAAGTAGATAAATAGGGACCGCTTACTAGCGGGAAGGTAAACGGCGTTTCTGTGTGCGGCTCTGACTCGCCAGAGCAGCGATGTCACGCTGGCCACGTGACCCGGAAGTGTCTCCGGACAGCGCTGGCTCCTGGCCTATAGAGTGAGATGGGCGCACAACCCCAGAGTCTGTCAAGACTGGCCCATACGGGCAGGGGTACCTTTACCTTTACCTTTACTAAGTTTAAATACTCAATGTCTTGGGGGTGGTATTCTGTTCCTGGATCATGACAGCCTGACCACACTGGTCCGTGCATTGGAAACGTCAAGGCTTGACTACTGTAACACACTTTACATGGGGCTGCCCTTGTATCTGGTTCAGAAGCTGTAGCTAGTGCAGAATTTAGCAACCAGATTGCTCTCAAAAGCAGACTATTGGCAACATGTCACCTGGCTATTGCGAGAGCTGCCCTGGGTGGTGATTTGCTACCAGGCTGGGTTCAATTTTCTTGTAATTCACCAAAGCTCTAAACAAGTAGGGCCCAATGTAGACACTACACTCTGCCTTGATCGCTCAGATCTTCCAGTGCTTCACTTCTGGCGATCCCACACACCTCTGAGGTCCACGCGACATTAAAGGGTCTGAGCCTTTAAAGTGGCAGGCCCTGCCCTGTGGAACTCCCTGCCAGTAGACGTTTAGGAAGCATCCTCCTCCTTTCAGGCATCTTCGGAAAACTATCCTGTTTAGACAGGCTTCACAATACGAATTTCACGTTTTAACCAAGCACTATCAACTGATGTCTTACTGGTGTTTTCAGTTATGTTTTACAGATACAGTGGTGCCTCGCAAGATGAAAAGAATCCGTTACGCGATTCTCTTCGTCTTGCGGTTTTTTTCGTCTTGCGAAGCAAGCCCATTAGCGGATTAGCGCTATTAGCGGCTTAGCGGATCAGCTGATAAGAGGCTTAGTGGCTTAGCGGATCAGCTGATTAGCGGCTTAGCGGATCAGATGTTAAGCGGCTTAGCAGATCAGCTGATAAGCAGCTTAGCGACCAGCTGATAAGCGGATCAGCGGCTTAGCGGATCAGCTGATAAGCGGCTTAGCAGCTTGGGAAAAAGGGGGGGGGAGAGAAAAAAAACCTGCAGGAACTCGCAAGACATTTTCGTCTTGCGAAGCAAGCCCATAGGAAATTCGTTTTGCGAAGCACCTCCAAAACGGAAAACCCTTTCGTCTAGCGGGTTTTCCGTCTTGCGAGGCATTCGTCTTGCAGGGCACCACTGTATTTATAGATGTTATTTTCTTACAGTTGTCTGCTTCACACCGCCTTGATTACATCCTATGAAAGTAAACTGACGGGAAAGAGCAGAAACCAGGAAGATCAAGTATTCCTAAAAGACTGGAGTAAATTTTTAATGTATATTTAAAAGATCTCTGTAAGCAGTTAAAATAATGGGCAGGGATATAAAGACACTTGTAATGTGGAATTAACTACAGTAACTATAGATATATAATGGCTGGAGAAGGGTAAAAGATGCAGAATACATTATTTTAAATATGGAACCGATGTAGGGAGGGAAAGAGGTCCGAAGGTTTGAATAAACCTTTTATTTTAATAATAATAATAATAATAATAATAATAATAATAATCCTTCCAGTAGTGCCTTAGAGAACCAACTAAGTTTGTTTTGGTATGATCTTTCGTGCTACTGGAAGCAATTTTTTATTATTATTTTGTTTTGACTACGGCAGACCAACACGGTCTTTTATTTTAATGTTTAAAATGGTTAAAGTTAAAATGTGTAAAATTATATAAAACCAAGGGGGGAAAGTATGCATTAGACATATGTAAATAAAACAGACAATAGTGTACTTACTGGATGATCAAGGGAATCTTTGGCATTTTCTCTTGCACCGGGAAGATCCCATTCTCTCCCACGTTGGCAGTGAAGTACACCCCAGAAACACTGGTCACCCGGTTGCCAGGAAATTCAGCTAGCACTTTCTCCTTTCCATGTTGATAGGACCAGTACCAGGCCTGTCCGCCAATGAGCAGACCCCCGCCTCTCTTTACAAACTGCACAAGGCCATCGGCTTGTGTGGCATCGTAAGCGTCAATGCAGTAGACCCCAAGAGAGTCTCCAGGCCTTGCATCTGGGTGCACCTTGACACCGTTACTGAGGAGCAACTCGGAGAGGGCATCCAACCTTTGGTGGACACTGATCTGTGCCGTCGAGGATGGCTTGAGCCACTCTAGGCTATTTCTAATGAATGGCAGGAACTGGGGCATTTTCAGCATGGATTCGTGTGCCGTCACCACCATCCGGCCTGCCCCATACCAGGATGCGGCTATTAGTACTTGCCCGTTGGTACTTACAAGGACAGGGAAAGCTTGGTCTCCTGTGAGAAGTAGCCCACAAGGATTGAACTCCCCAGTGACAGCCAAAGACTCAATACCTTTCACCAAAGATTCGTAAGATTTTCTGGACTCCCTCTGGACTGTTTGGAATGCTGGTCTACAGGTGTATCTGAGAGGACAAAAGAGCATGAGCTTTGCACCTGCAATATCTGTTAAGTTGTGGGTGAACATATCAGACGACACAGCGATTCTTCAAACAGCTCTTGTTTATTCACAGGCCAGAACAGAACAGAACTGAACTGAAGGGGTTCAGCCAGCCTGTTTATATAGAGCTCCACTACAACGCAACAGTAACCATTTTCTGTAACTATCCAATCACTGAATGTCACTTTCAATCCCTTATTTGCATATGTGGACCTGAGTGAAAACTATCTACAGTATCCCCCTGCTGGCCCAGGGTGAGAACTTCAATACATAACAATATCTATCTGTAATTCCCCATGAAACCTTACTAAAAATGTACAATCTTACCAGACTTCAGTCCCTTTGGCTCTCCCCTGTCCAATTGTACCTTGGAAGTAAAATGGAATCCGTTCCGGAAGTCCGTTCAACTGTCAAAGTGTTTGAAAACCTAACTGCAGCTTCTGATTGGTTGCTGGAAGCTGCTGCAGCCAATCAGAAGCCACAGAAACCCCATCAGATGTTCAGGTTCCAAAAGAACATTCACATACCGGAACAATCACTTCCATGTTTGCAGCGTTTGGGAGCCAAAATGTCTGAGTTCCAGGGCGTTCAGGATCCAAGGTGCAACTGTATATACTTGTAAAGCTCTGCTTTATTAATATTCAGGCAGCAGTTAGCTTGAGAAAAAAATCAGTGGGGTAAAATGTAGCTTGCCCAGCCTTTGGTCTTTGGACTATCCCTCCTGTCTCCCTGCTGCCGCCATAACAACTAATGGAGCTATTCCGTCCTATTTCGTGTGTCCTTAATAGATTAGTAAGCCCACTGAGTGACCTGATTGATTCGGACAAAACCAGCATTTAGAATTAGCCAGGAGGCTGAGGATTGTCAGAATGCAAAGGCTTCAAGAAGTCTTGTCGCCATGTATGGTGACTCAGATTTAAGAATAAAATTGGTGCTGAGAAATGCCTCCCTGGCCGACTCGATAGTAAGAAAGTGCCTCTTTTCTCACCGCAGCACAAATCACCCTTGGAAGGACAAAATGGCGGCTAGACATTCCAGGAGCCATGTGACAAATAGCTTTTCTACCCTATTTTTTAAACACTGGACAAAATGCCTACTTTTTTGAAGGGCAGTCACTGCAGAGGGAGCTCAGGTTGAAATAACTTGGGTGATTTCTTAATTTATCCCAAGAGAGCATCGGGATGGTCATCCTTCACTATTTCCCACGAAAACTTTGGAGTGAAACCTGTGTCTCTTAATACGGGGAGCAAAAGCCTCAAAAACACCCTACTTACAGAGCTGGGATTTCTACTGGTGCTTAGAAGCCAATTTTATTTGGGGCATCATCCTGAGGATCAGTGCTGTTTCTTTACACAAAGAGGGGCCGGAACTCGCCATGAATGCCTCCGTTGTTCTTTTATAATGGCAATGGAGCCCACCTGAGAGGTGCTGGAACTGAGTTCCGGCTGGAAAAAAAAGCCCTGTTGAGGGCTATAACCTGTTTATGTGGTAGGTAGGTCACCCCCCCCATTTATACTTAGGCTAGATTTATGCTGTAAAAGAATATCTATGCTCTCTATATGCATTCTATCCTCTCACACACAAAATGGGTGTATATGTTGTCATTATTTTGGCATTGCTTAAGGGCCCAGAATGCATCTGACAGCTAGGATAGGTTTTCGCTTTTCTGATTATCTGGGGCAGGCAGATAAATTATGGTTTTCTTCCTCTCCGTATACACAAACGGGGGGGGGGGATTTCCCCATAATGAATCTTGCTGGGTCTATCTGTTGGTCATCCCAAATTGGGACATGCTATCGGGGACAGAATACTTCAAACAAATTTTCACTCAAACCTTGTTTGTCGAACGTAATCCGTTCTGGAAGACTGTTCGACTTCCGAAACGTTCGACAACTGAAAGCAGAAGCCTCAATACAATAGGGAAACTCAAAACAGAAGCCGTGTAGCATGTTTGGCTTTTGAAAATCGTTCAAAAACCGGAGCAGTTACTTCCGAGTTTTTTGCGTTCGGGAGCCGAAATGTTCGAAAATGGAGCCGTTCGAGAACCAAAGTTTGGCTGTAGCATTGTTTCTTCTCCCAAGAAGAATAAATGGAGATAAAGAGGTATACTTACTCAGGGCTTGGGGGAACCTCTGGTATATCCTGTTGCACAGGGAAGACCCCATTGTCTCCCACAGCAGCGGTAAAGTACACTCCAGCCATGCCAGTCACCCGATTGCCAGGAAATTCAGCCAGCACCTTCTCTTTTCCATGTTGATAGGACCAATGCCAGGCCTGCCCTCCAATGAGTAGACCCCCGCCTCTCTTTACAAACTGAGCAAGGCTGCCAGCTTGTGTGTCGTCATAGGCATTGATACAGTAGACCCCAAAGGAGTCTCCAAGCCGGGCGTTCGGATGCACCTGAACAGAATTCTTGAGCAGATCAGAGAGAGTAGCCATGTTCTGGTGGACACCCACTTTTGCTGTTGGGGATGGCTTGAGCCACTCTAGGCTATTTCTAATGAAGGGCAGGAACTGGGGCATTTGCAACATGGCTTCATGCGCCGTCACCACCATCCGGCCTGCCCCGTACCTGGATGCGGCTATTAGTACGTTGCCCTTCGTGCTCACCAGCACAGGAAAAGCTTGGTCTCCGGTGAGAAGGAGTTTGCAAGGGTTGAAGCCCCCGGTGACATCAAAATACTGAATACCTTTCACCAGTGACGAATAAGAATTTCTGGAGTGCATCTGGGACATTGAGACTGCTGGACCGCTTACAGAACTGGAAGACCAAGAAATAGCACACACACCCAAAGAAAGCACGTTAAAAATTGCCTGTCCACCTGCAAGGTCCATACATATTTCCCATGTGAAACCTACATAAAGTACACAAGCTAGCCATCTCGTGTGTGTGATCATTCTCCTAAATTTGTTGTCGTCACACATTTATACAAGAAGCAACAGTGTGCAGTCGTACCTTGGATCCCGAACGGCTTGCAAGTTGAATGTGGGCTCCGGAACGCCGCAAACCCAGAAGTGATTGTTCCGGTTTCCGAACTATTTTTGGAAGCCGAACGTCCGATGGGGCTTCTGCAACTTCCAGTTGGCTTTGGTTTCTGAATGTTTTGGAAGTCAGATGGACTTCCGGAATAGATTCAGTTCAGCTTCCAAGGTAAAAGTGTATATTGAACCACCCTACCCCCCCCCACTCGACAAAAGCACATTGCTATACTAGGTTTTTTAAATCAAAAAATTAGGTGTAAAATTGGGGCTCATCTTATAAGTGGTACCTCGGGTTACATACGCTTCAGGTTACAGACTCCGCTAACCCAGAAATAGTGCTTCAGGTTAAGAACTTTGCTTCAGGATGAGAACAGAAATCGTGCTCCAGCGGTGCCAGGAGGCCACATTAGCTAAAGTGGTGCTTCAGGGTAAGAACAGTTTCAGGTTAAGAACGGACCTCCGGAATGAATTAAGTACTTAACCCGAGGTACCACTGTACACAGGTAGTGCTGAGGGGTGTTTTCTTAATTTGGAGTTCCCCAAAATGGGCCTCATACATGGGGACGTTTTATACACGGAAAAATACGGTACATCTAACATTCCAGTCAAAAGTATCATTCCACAAGCTGCCATTGCATCGTCGGAGGCCTGTCCCCATATTAAAGGTAAAGGACCCCTGACAGTTAAGTCCAGTCGTGGATGATTCTGGGGTTGCAGTGCTCTTCTCACTTTACTGGCCGAGGGAGCTGGCGTTTGTCTGTTTGACAGTTTTTCCAGGTCATGTGGCCAGCATGACTAAGCCGCTTCTGGCGAAACCAGAGCAGTGCACAGAAACGCCGTGTACCTTCCTGTCGGAGTGGTACCTATTTATCTACTTGTACTTTGACGTGCTTTCAAACTGATAGGTTGGCAGGAGCTGGGACCAAACAACGGGAGCTCACCTCATTGCGGGGATTCGAACCGCTGACTTTCCGATCAGCAAGCCCAAGGCTCAATGGTTTACACCACAGCGCCACCTGTGTCCCTGTCCCCATATTGCATTGATGTAATAAAGTGATGTCAGGTTGATTGTAAATTAGCGCTTTTCCTGTCTGCTCAGCTCTCCTGGGCATAAGTTTGTCAGGGTTAATTCCCAGAGTTGCAAGACTCAGATCTCAAACAGGTTTGCATTTAGAGCCTTGCAATGTTTTGCAATGGTACTCCCTGTTTACTTGCTAGACTTCATGCTTTTAGCTTGCCCCAGGCAGCAAATGTTTGTGTGTGGGGGGGTGTGCCCTAGCAGTGCCGGATTTACGTATTAGGATAAACAAGCTATAGCTTAGGGCCCCACTCTCTTGGGGGGCCCCAAATTTTTTTAAAGAAAAACAACTGGATGTACATTTCCAAAATACAAGATAAAAACAAATAAGATAAACCCTACATACAGCAACAGTGTTTGTTTTGTGTAGGCTCCTATGATGTAAGTCAGACATTCCCAAACTCGACCCTCCAGATGTTTTGGGACTACAATCCCCATCATCCCTGGCCACTGGTCCTGTTAGCTAGGGATGATGGGAGTTGTAGTCCCAAGTTTGGGGGTGCCTGGTGTAAGTAATGGGCCCCGCCTGCTAGCCTACTTCTTAATTGTATTTCAGTTCAACAATTACTTTGATAGAATACATATTTTGTTATGTGCAAATGGCTTTAGATACCTATGAGGCCCATAAATGACCATATAGCATATAAGCAACACACACAAAAACCCAGCAACAATTTGTTGTTGACCAAGGACAGCTGGACATATAAAGGGCCCCATTACCTTCAGTAGCTTAGGGCCTCGTCAAACCTAAATTCGGCTCTGCACCCTAGCACACCTCTTAGGCTTCTTCCTTAACTTTCACACTCTCAGTTGGGTTTGGGCCATGCCTTTGGACCCCTGGGTAAGGTGTCAGGGCCGTCTTCTGGCGCCATGGTGCAAAGATCCCTCCGCCCCCCCTTTCCCAGAGTTGCTGACCTTTTTACAGCACTTCCAGCAGCTTTGTGGGGCTGGAGGAAGCAGGCAGCGGCTGAGGGCGACCCCTCCAGCGGGGAAGAGGCGGAGAAGACGAAGAAGAAGTGTTTGGATTTGATATCCCGCTTTATCACTACCCGAAAGGGTCTCAAAGCGGCTAACATTCTCCTTTCCCTTCCTTCCCCACAACAAACACTCTGTGAGGTGAGTGGGGCTGAGAGACTTCAGAGAAGTGTGACTGGCCCAAGGTCACCCAGCAGCTGCATGTGGAGGAGCGGGGAAGCGAACCCAGTTCACCATATTACGAGTCCACCGCTCTTAACCACTACACCACACTGGCTCAGGGCGCAGCGCTGCTTCAGCGAGGGTGGTGAGCTAATGCTGGGAGGTGCCACACCCAGCCTCCGCCTATTCCCTGGCACCCTTCAGAACTTGGCGCCCCGCACCACTTGCCTCTATGAGCAAGATGCCCCTGTAAGGTGTCCAATCAAAGAGTGGTCAGATCAGATTTTCATTGTGACACAGCAGTGCTGTAGGGAGAGCTGGCTTCAGGCAGCAGGTTTGTTCAGCTTCATGTAAGAATCTGGATCTAAAAGGTAAAGGGATCCCTGACCGACTCTGGGGTTGCGGTGCTCATCTCGCTTTATTGGCCAAGGGAGCCGGCGTACAGCTTCCGGGTCATGTGGCCAGCATGACTAAGCCGCTTCTGGCAAACCAGAGCAGCACACGAAAATGCCGTTCATCTTCCCGCCGGAGCGGTACCTATTTATCTACTTGCACTTTGATGTGCTTTCGAATTGCTAGGTTGGCAGGAGCAGGGACCGAGCAACGGGAGCTCACCCCGTCGTGGGGATTTGAACCGCCAACCTTCTGATCAGCAAATACTAGGCTCTGTGGTTTAACCCACAGCACCACCCGTGTCCCTTAATCTGGATCTACAAGGCTGTTTAAGAAGGAGTGGATTAATGGCTTACTGCTTTCAGAAGATTCCTCAAAACTTGCAACTGAAAAGCAGTGGCGACAGAGCTTTCCCTCTTCTACTTTCTCAGCTGTGTCTGGTGCTGAGTCGCTCCTTCAAATGGGCAGGTTGCTCAGAACTGCTTTGAATTGTAAGGCTTTTGCAGGAATCTGAAATGCAGAGTGCGAGGAGCTAGTACGGTCTGTTTGCTTATGTGACCGTGAAAAGTGAAAGTGAAAGATTAAAATGGTCTAAATTTGTACTTTGCATGTCAACGACCTGGAATAAAAAGCATGACACACACACAAAAAGTTACATTGATTACTTTCTCTTTTAATTAAAGATACTCCTTTTTCTTCTTTGTGGATTAAACTTATCCACAGTTTATTAGTCGCCTTTCAGAATGTAAGAAATAGCTTAAAGCCGCCTTGTAATGAGCAAGTGTTGCCATATTTTCACAGGCAGTGGAAAGTTTTCTTGCTGAGCCTGTCCTTTGTAGCTGAAGAAAGGCAATCTTGAGTCAGTTTGTGCAGAGGCAAGTCTCACTGATTGCAGTGGAAACTTGCTCCCTTGCAAATGTGTTTATTATTGCAGCCTCAAATTGCCCTTGTCTTTTGCCGTGGTTACTGGTTGCTCTTTGCTATAAGAAAACAGATAAGGCAATTTGCATGCGCTAGTTGCTCCCTTTCTAATAGTGGTACCTCAGGTTACATTCACTTCAGGTTACATACGCTTCAGGTTACACACTCCGCTAACCCAGAAATAGTGCTTCAGGTTAAGAACCTTGCTTCAGCATGAGAACAGAAATCGGGCTTCAGCAGCATGGCGGCAGCAGGAGGCCCCATTAGCTAAAGTGGTGCTTCAGGTTAAGAACAGTTTCAGGTTAAGTACAGACCTCTGGAACAAATTAAGTACTTAACCCAAGGTACCACTGTACTAGGATTCTGTACTAGCCAGCACTGTTGCACACCTGCTTCTCTGTTTCACATACCTGGCAAGAGCCACACAGGAAGTTGTCCTTTTGATGCCTTCCTTGGAACTGTCAGGTGAGCAGAACCGGCGTGTCACTGTACAGTGCAATTCTTTCTGCAATTTGGCTGTCTCAGTTTGGCCCTGTACCTTAAGGCAGAATTAAATGTCGTGTTCCAGAGTCGTGTTTTCTTGCCAGCGTGTCTGAGAAGTAGTTCCGGGAACTTCTGGGCAAGTGGCCAAAATAATCTCCGATAGTTTAATGTTATTTATTTAAGCAGATTTCTGCCGCAGCCACGGTACTCAGGATGGCAGACTGCAAAAGCCTGTTCGTAAAACTAAGAAAACAATGGGAATAGGAAATGGGAACACGAACCCAGAGGTCTGGTGCTGCAAAATCATCTTGGCAAGTCATATGTCAGCTGGAGTAAAAATAACTGCATTGGGCAGCAAGAAGCCAAGAGAGGGGCTACGAATTCCTTATTTGGATGTGGTCATAGAGATGATAATACAGTGGTACCTCAGGTTAAGTACTTAATTCGTTCTGGAGGTCCGTACTTAACCTGAAACTGTTCTTAACCTGAGGCTCCACTTTAGCTAATGGGGCCTCCTGCTGCCGCCGCGCCACTGTAGCACAATTTCTGTTCTCATCCTGAAGCAAAGTTCTTAACCTGAAGCACTATTTCTGGGTTAGTGGAGTCTGTAACCTGAAGCGTATGTAACCTGAAGCGTATGTAACCTGAAGTACCACTGTAATAATAATAATAATAAATAATAATAATAATAATAATAATAATAATAATAAAATTATATGCCACACATTGGACTGGGTTGCCCCAAGCCGCTCTGGGCGGTTTCTAACAAATTGAAAACATTAAGCACAGTAAATCATCAAACTTCCCTGTACAGAGCTGCATTTAGATGTCTTCTAAAATTCAGATAGTTATCTCCTTGATAGGAGGGCATCTCACAGGGCGGGCACCACTACTGAGAAGGCCCTCTGCCTGGTTCCCTGTAGCTTCACATCTTGCAGGGAGCGAACTGTCAGAAGACCCTCCAAGCTGGACCTCAGTGTCTGGGTGGAGATGCTCCTTCAGGTATACTGGGCGGAGGCCGTTTAGGGCTTTAAAGGTCAGAACAAGCACTTTTATTATTTAATTTTATTAATTTTTTCATTTGCATTTTCAAAAACAGGAACAGAGAACATACTTAACCCCCCCTCCCCCATCCCACTTACAACTTCATACCAAATTCAGCATGTGTATATATTGTTAGAGGGGGATTTTTCACTGGTGGCTGATGAACAGAAACTGACTCCACGAGACCGGTGTAAAACTAAGTTAAATAAGGACTTTATTTCAAAACAAAAAACAGCAACGCTGTTGGGTGTTTCTCCTGCAGGCAGAGTTCAAACTGCAGCTTCTCTCCTTTTGTAGCCATGGCCAGCTGCACCCAGTCAGCCCAGAGCTTACAGAAACTGCTCTTAAAGGTACAAACATGTTTCTGTACAGAATGATTCCCAATAACCCCTCTCATTCAAACAGAAACAGAAACAACAGTACTTTTTTCGTTGTTTAGTCGTGTCTGACTCTTCATGACCCCATGGACCAGAGCATGCCAGGCACTCCTGTCTTCCACTGCCTCCCGCAGTTTGGTCAAACTCATGCTGGTAGCTTCGAGAGCACTGTCCAACCATCTTGTCCTCTGTCGTCCCCTTCTCCTTGTGCCCTCCATCTTTCCCAACATCAGGGTCTTTTCCAGGGAGTCTTCTCTTCTCATGAGGTGGCCAAAGTCTTGGAGCCTCAGCTTCACGATCTGTCCTTCCAGTGAGCACTCAGGGCTGATTTCCTTCAGAATGGAGAGGTTTGATCTTCTTGCAGTCCATGGGACTCTCAAGAGTCTCCTCCAGCACCAGAATTCAAAAGCATCAATTCTTTGGCGATCAGCCTTCTTGATGGTCCAGCTCTCACTTCCATACATCACCACTGGGAAAACCATAGCTTTTACTATACGGATCTTTGTTGGCAAGGTAATGTCTCTACTTTTTAAGATGCTGTCCAGGTTTGTCATTGCTTTTCTCCCAAGAAGCAGGCGTCTCTAAATTTCGTGGCTGCTGTCACCATCTGCAGTGATCATGGAGCCCAAGAAAGTAAAATCTCTCACTGCCTCCATTTCTTCACCTTCTATTTGCCAGGAGGTGATGGGCCCAGTGGCCATGATCTTCGTTTTTTTGATGTTGAGCTTCAGACTATATTTTGCGCTCTCCTCTTTCACCCGCAATAAAAGGTCCTTTAATGCCTCCTCACTTTCTGCCATCAAGGTTGTGTCATCTGCATATCTGAGGCTGTTGATATTTCTTCCTGCAATCTTAATTCCATTTTGGGATTCATCCAGACCAGCCTTGTTGTACTCCTTTCCCAATTTTGAACCATTCAGTTGTTCCATATCCAGTTCTAACTGTAGCTTCTTGTCCCATGTAGAGATTTCTCAGGAGACAGATGAGGTGATCAGGCACTCCCATTTCTTTAAGAACTTGCCATATTTTGCTATTTAATGAAGCAGAAGTAGTCTTTCTGGAACTCTCTTTCTCCATAATCCAGCTCATGTTTGCAATTTGGTCTCTGGTTCCTCTGCCTCTTCTGAATCCACCTTGCACTTCTGGGAGTTCTCGGTCCACATGCTGCTTGAGCCTTCCTTGTAGAATTTTAAGCATAGCCTTGCTAGCGTGTGAAATGAGTGCAATTGTGTGGTAGTTGGAGCATTCTTTGGCACTGCCCCTCTTTGGGATTGGGATGTAGACTGATCATCTCCAATCCTCTGGCCACTGCTGAACTTTCCAAACTTGCTGGCATATTGAGTGTAGCACCTTAACAGCATCATCTTTTAAAATTTTAAATAGTTCAGCTGGAATACCATCACTTCCACTGGCCCTGTTATTTGCAGTGCTTTCTAAGGCCCATTTGACTTCACTCTCCAGGATGTCTGGCTCAAGGTCAGCAACCACACTACCAGAAAGTATATCTTTCTGGTATAATTCCTCTGTGTATTCTTGCCACCTCTTCTTGATGTCTTCTGCTTCTGTTATGTCCTTACCACTTTTGTCCTTTATTATAGTAATCATTGTATGAAATGTTCCTTTCATTTCTCCGATTTTCTTGAACAGATCTCTGGTTCTTCCCATTCTGTTGTTTTCCTCTATTTCTTTGTCTCTATTTCAAAAAATAGGAACAGTACTTTAAACATATACAAAACGTATTTATACATCATGCACAGCAATTCCTAATTTTGTCACCGGTTGTGCATGTTTCTCAAAAGTTAGTGCTTTTGTAAATATATCAGCCACATTTTGCATACTCTCACAGTATTTTAGCATTATTAGGTTTTGTTTCACATTTTCAGTTACATTTTGATATTTAATTTCTAAATGTTTGGATTTGTTTTTAAATTGCTCAGATCCAGCCAAAGTTATCACAGCTTGATTGTCTTCCCATATTTGAACTGGATAATCACATTGTATATCTAAATCCTTGAGGATTTGAACGTAAAATTTTACTTCATTACACAACTCTGATAAAGCACAGTATTCAGCCTTCAAGGCATTTTCTGTGGGACAGCTTACTAGTCTGCTCAGTATTCCAACTGCATAACTCAAATCTGGTCTGCTCCACAATGAAATGTATAATAAACTTCCAACTATTGAATGGTACGCTTCAGGATTTACAGGTTCTGTGCATTCTCCTTCATGCTTGAAAAAATCTACTTCCATTGGGGTTTTTATTCCCTTGCTGTTTTGCATACTGTTTATTTCAAGTAATTCCATTATTTTATCTTTTTGACTCAACAAAAAACTTCCATCGTTTGTCCTTTGAATTTCTAAACCAAGATAATTTTTTACTGGCCCCAAATCTCTTACTTTAAATTCCTTTCTTAGTTTCTGCAAATTTTCCACTTGCTTGTCATTTTTTGTAGAAAAAAGCAAATAATCAACATAAGACAAACACAATTCTTGTTTACCACCCTTTCCTTTAGTGTACAAGCAATTATCAGCTAAGCTTCTTTTAAAGCCAAGATTTTTAAAGCATTATCAAGACACTCGTTCCAATTTCTAGCTGATTGTTTGAGACCATAAATTGCTTTGTGTAATCTATATACAGAATTCTGTTCGGCCTGCCTCAAAACCAGGTGCTTGATTCATAAAAATTTCTTCGTGCAGATTTGTGTTAAGATAAGCTGTTTCAAGATCAAATGATTTACCTTAAACCCATGTTGTGCTGCAAGAGCTAGCAATAAACGTACACTTTCCCTCCTT